ACGAACTTAACAAAACACTTGACAATTATCTTCCTTCGCCTGTTACGTTCCTTCTGTTCCTGTGTATAATAATGTTCCCTGTTCCTGTGTATAATAACGTTCCCTGTTCCTGTGTATAATGTTCCTTGTTCCTCTGTATAGTGTTCCCTGTTCCTGTGTATAATAACGTCCTTGCTCCTGTGTATAATGTTCCTTGTTCCTCTGTATAGTGTTCCCTGTTCCTGTGTATAATGTTCCTTGTTCCTCTGTATAGTGTCCCTGTTCCGTGTATAATTATTCCTTGTTCCTCTGTATAGTGTTCCCTGTTCCTTGTGTATAATGTTCCTTGTTCCTCTGTATAGTGTTCCCTGTTCCTGTGTATAATGTTCCTTGTTCCTCTGTATAGTGTCTCTGTTCCTCTGTATAGTGTTCCCTGTTCCGTGTATAATAACGTTCCCTGTTCCTGTGTATAATAATGTTCCTGTTCCTGTGTATAATAACGTTCCCTGTTCCTGTGTATAATGTTCCTTGTTCCTCTGTATAGTGTTCTGTTCCTGTGTATAACAATTCCTGCTCCTGTGTATAATGTTCCTTGTTCCTCTGTATAGTGTTCCTGTTCCTGTGTATAATGTTCCTTGTTCCTCTGTATAGTGTTCCCTGTTCCTGTGTATAATGTTCTTGTTCCTATATATATATGTTCCCTGTTCCTGTGTATAATAACGTTCCCTGTTCCTGTATATAATGTTCCTGTTCCTCTGTATAGTGTTCCCTGTTCCTCTGTATATTAAACAACATAATCCCCGTAAAGTCACAGAGGGATTTCGACGCCATTAATATTTTACCATTAACTTTGTGCTATAGCTTAAGTGAGTCAAGTTATATTAACCCCTCACTCTTTCAGTAGAGGGAGGGGTGAGGGGTAAGGTGAGGGGTAAGGGTGAGGGTAAGGTGAGGTAGGGGGGTGTGAGGGGTGTGAGGATAATTTTTAACGTAGGAACCTTTGAGAGTCGGTCTAAGCTAAGGGGGTCCAGATTATGTTTCCTCACATCACCAGTTAAGTGAGAGATTTTTTTTTTTTTTATTTCCCTACTTCCCTGACCTCCTCCTCCTCCCCTCACCTTCCTCTCTCTCACCTCCTCCTCACCTCCCTCCCTCACCTCCCTCCTCCCTCACCTCCCTCCTCATCTCCTCCTCCCCTCCTCCTCCTCCCTCACCTCCCCTTACCTCCCCCCTCACCTCCTCCCTCACCTCCTCCCTCCCCTCCCCCTCATCTCCCTCATTCTCTCCTCCCCTCATCTCCTCCTCCCCCTCACCTCCTCCCTCCCTCACCTCCTCCTCCTCACCTTCCTCCTCATCTTCCCTCCCCTCATTCCTCCTTCCTCTGACCTCCCCTTCTCCCTTTTTGGTCAAGAGGGAGTACTGTAATTTGTGTTTTCTGCCTCTCTCTCTCTCTCTCTCTCTCTCTCTCTCTCTCTCTCTCTCTCTCTTCTCTACCCCACTTTTGTCTCTTCCCATCTCTCACTCTATCCCTTCTCTGTCTCTCTCCTTCATCATACTCTCTTCTCTCCCTTTTCCTCCCATTTTTCTCTCTCCCTTTTCCCTTTCTCACTTCTCTCCTCCTGTACTCTCTACCTAGGTTAAGTGGGTCGTCACAGCGGCACTAGTTAACCCTTGTGTGTGTGTGTGTGTGTGTGTGTGTGTGTGTGTGTGTGTGTGTCTGTGTGTGTGTGTGTGTGTGTGTGTGAAGTTAGGTTAGGATAGGTCACATGAAGTTAGGATCATGTTAACTTAAGGTAGGTCAGATTACGTTAAGTTAAATTAAGTTAGGTCAGATTAGGCTTAAATTAAATTAAATTAAATTAGGTCAAGGTAGGTTTAAGTTAAGTCAGGTCACGTTAGGTTTAAGATAAGTCAGGTCAAGGTAGGTTTAAGTTAAGTCTGAAGGTAGATTTAAGTTAAGTCATGTCACGTTAGGTTTAAGTTAAATTAAAGCAAGTTACGTCCACTTCGAATTAAGTAAAGTCCGATTAAATTATTTTAGGCTTAAGTTAAATCAAGTTAAATCAAGTTTGGGTTAAGATAAATCAAGTGGATCAAGTTAAATCAAGTTTGGGTTAAGATAAATCAAGTGGATCAATGTAATCAAGTTTGGGTTAAGTTAAATTAAGTTATATTCCCCCGTAAAACCCAGTGTGGGGAGACGAACACAACCACGAGTATGTTAAACAACTAAACATTCTTACGTGTTATAAAGGTTTGTGGCCCTGTCTGCCTCTGGGTGGGGGGGATGGGGTGGGGAGGAATGGGGTGTGGAGGAACGGGGTGGGGAAGAACGTGGGGAGGAACGGGGTGGGAGGAATGGGTGGGGAGGAACGGGGTGGGGAGGAACGGGGTGGGAGGAAGGGTGGGAAGGAATGGGGTGGGGAGGAATGGGGTGGGGAGGAACGGGTGGGGAGGAACGGGTGGGGAAGAACGGGGAGGAACGGGGGTGGGGAGGAACGGGTGGGAGGAACGGGTGGGG